TACAGACTGTTGTGGCAAGAACACAGGTATGAAGACCATTTAAGAGGCTGTTGTAATAATCAAGTAACTGGAGGCAGTAAGAAGTGGGTGAATTCTGGACATATCTTAATGGAGAAGCTAACACTATTTTCCAGTGCGTTGTAGGTCTGCCAAAGTTGACTCCAAGGTTCTTGTCCTGAACAAAGGGAAAGATGAAGTAACTACTAATTGGGCTGAGGAAGACCACAAGCAAAACAGGTTTTGAAGGGGAAGATAAAGAAGCCGTGCGTTACACATGGTAAGTTTGAGATGTTAATTAGACCTCCAAGTGTAGATGTCAATTAGGTCATTTGAATACAAGTTTGGAATTCCGGGGAAAGATTCTGGCTTGAGATACAATTTTGGAAGCTATCATCAGATAGATGGTATTTAGAGTAGATGAGAACACAAACGGAGTATGTGTAAATAGAAAAGAGGAGAGATATGAGGACTGAAAACATCCCGCGGCACCTCACATTAAGATGGCAGGGAGAAAAGCAGGAAGCAACCAAGCAGACAGAGAAAGAAGGACCAGTAAGGTATGGGGAAAACAAAGTGAACATGGTGTCTGGGAAGTCAAATGAAGAAAGTGTTTTAAGTGTCAAATAAGATGAGGACTAAAAATTGACCATGGGGTTTAGCAGTATGGCAATCATTGATCATCATGCAAAAGAAGTTCCGGTGAAGTTGTGACCATCGAATCCTGATTGGAGCGGATTTATGAGGGAATGGAAGAAGAGGAATTAGAGAAAGTGAATATAAACAACTTTTTCAAGAAGTTTTGTTACGGAGGAAAGTAGAGACATGAAGTAAGAGCTAGAAGTGGAGTCAAAAGAAGAATTTTTTTAAAAATAATTTAAATGAGAGAAAAATATGTTGTATGCTGATGGGAATGATCCAAAAGAGAAAGGAAAATTGATAACGGATGAAAGAGAGGACAGGTTTGCAGGAACTTTGTCCTTGAATACGTGAGAGCCTGGAATCTAGTACAAAAGTGGGGAGGTTGAACTTAGTAGGAGCCAGGGCAGATAACCTGTAGTAACAGGTGGGAAGGAAGTCTAAATGGTTAAGCACTCAAATACTAATCAAAAGGTTGGCAGTTCGAATCCACCCAGAGA